CCTCCCCCCCGCCAGAGCAGCCACAGTGCAAATCAGCTCGAGGATCTCCTGAGAGCATCTCGTGCTTATTTTTCTTTGCTAAAGTAGTACTTGTCCTAAGAAAATTAAAAATAGGGTTCTGGGGGGGCGGGGCTGGACGGTGCAGAAGTGGACATGGGATGCCTCTGGAGGCTGACCTACATGGGAAGGTGCCGGTTCGCATCCAGAGACCTCCCCGAGCGCACGAGTATGGTGAACCCACAATGCAGTCTGGCTGAGACTGCGGGTGGGAGAGCAAAGACACTGTCGGGGGTGCTGTCTCTCTCTCTCTGTTGCTCATGGAATAAACAAATAGGGAAACTTAAAAAAAATAAAGAAATCTGATTCTATTTCTGGAGGTGGGTGGCACTAGGATGGGATGAGGAGTCAGGCAAAGGTGACAAATATGATTACGACTTTGGTGACTCTTCCCTGTAGAGAGAGGCGACATTCGAAAATAACAGAAATGGAGGAAGTGGGGCCAATTGCAGTGAGGTGGTTGAAGCAGCTGGGTCCCACATGGCCAGCTTCATGGTTTGAGTCCTAAACCTGGTGGCTTCAAAAACACAGTGGGTGTGTATGCATGCGTGCTCAAAATCCCAAGAGGAGAATAGAAAAGGGATTGGCCATCCTCCCACCCTGCAGGGTGCTTTCTCACTTTCTGTCTCTCTCTTGTCTCTCCAGTGAGTGTACATACTCAATAGCAAAATTAATTTTACAAAAGAAAAAGAAAAGAAATAAGGAAAATGTTGATACCAGACACTGCTTATATGTAGACCCAGCCGGCCCTGGCTCCATCATTTTAAAGGATTTCTACAAGATCTTTTATTAATAACATATGCATCCGGAATGTTCTTCAAGCTACTGGGTCCAGGACCCAAACTGTGAAGTTGACCATGTGGGCTCTAGCTGCTTTGACCACTATGCCACTGGCTGGTCCTAAGCACTTTTCTTAGAGAACACTTTTAAAAATGTAAATGTTGTCTGAGAAGATTAAAGAAAAAAAACCATTCTCCTTGTAACAGGGGGGTGGAGGCAGAGGTGGAAAGGAAGGGCAGCTGGAAGGTGAGACCCAACCCAGTAAGGCGTGACAAAGGGGCTGGCCTCTGAGCTACCCAGGAAGCCTCCTGCTACAGTCTGTCTCTCTCTGAGCTCTAGGGTTCCAGATGCTTCTCTGCAGGTCTAGGCAGGAAGGCAGAGGGGCAAGCCAAGCTGTGGCAGCCAGGGGAGGAAGAAGGTGTTGGCCCCACTGCAGGAAGAGGAAACCAGGGGCCCATGGAGGCTGACTCATCCCACACCCAGGCATGTCAGCTGGGTCTGCCATTCGTGGGTTTGTGGGTGTCAGGACAAGAGAAACGGGACACGGGTTGCCTGGGAGGGGCAGATGAACGCGCTGTGCAGAGGCCGCGAAGGAGCAGGAGCCCCTCTTTCTGCTTGGCCCTGTCTGGTTTCATTTTGATTCTGTAACAGCAGGTGCCTTGCTAGGAAAGGTGGGATGCAGCTTAGATGGCGGTCGCTCGTGCTCAGAGTTTCGAACATAAACTCAGCCATGACATAAAGTGGGTTTCGGTTCTCTCTCACCCCATCCTTCCTCTGTGGAGTCACTACAGCATGGTGGCTAAGAGTCCAGACTGTGGAACCAGCCTGCCAGGGTTCAAATCAGCACCCTGCTACTTTCTAAAGTGGTCTTGGGCCAGTTCTTCAGCCTTGCAGGGCCCCAGTCTCCATATCTGTGCCACTGGCTCAAAGTACCTGTCCTCGCAGCACGGCTATGGCCAATAATGGCTCAGGACTTGGAGGGTACCCGGAACAATACCTGGCGGGGACCGCCCTCACACAGACTTTTCCAGTCTCACACTTGTCTGCTCCACAGGGAAGGGGACTGATGGTAACTTGCCATGTTGGCAGTGCCCCGAGTTGGTGATGTGCCCACCATACGCCACAGCCTTGATTGTAAACGACGAGTTGTCCCTGGGAGCGTTCTTTTCTAAACATAGCATGGGGGTTGCTTCTGGGGTTTTTTTGTTTTTTATTTTTGAGAGTTTTTTTTTCCGCTATAGGGTGCGTGCGCTCGCCAGACAGACAGAGAGAGACAGAGAGACAGAAAGCGAGAAATCACCCCCAGGGGGGATGGTCACGCCGCAATCCTCTCTCCTCCATTCTCCTCTCGGGATCTTGGGCACGCACGCACACGCGCCCTGTGTGAGTTTTAAGCCACCGGGTTCGGGACACGAACCATGGTCGACTACGTGGGAGTCCAGCGACATAGCCATTACACTAACTGCTGGTTCCCTCTGTTTTTTTTTTAGAGAGAGATTTTTGCTATAGATTTTTGCTATATTTTTGCATGTGCTCTCTGGAGAGACAGAGACAGAGAGAGAGAAATCACCCCCCAAAGGGGATGGCCACACTGCAATCCCTTCTCCTCCATTCTCCTCTCCATTGACTACATGGGAGTCCAGCAACATAATCACTATGGCATCTGCTGGAACCAATGGTCAGACCTCAGCAGCCTGCCTCCCCTGGGGAGTTCCAAGGAACAGGAGCTGTTAGACTAGTTACAGCAAATCACCCTCCATCAGATTCCGGTTCTTAAAACAGTTGTTTGCCTTTCTGTGTGAATGAGAGCGTCACCTACGGCATGCTTCCCAGAATGCCTCAGGCTTCACTAGTAAAAGGTCATTTTGGACTTAGGGTCCAGGGTCTTGGTCCTAGAATCCCCTGGGTCAACCAAGACAAGAAGGTAAGCCTCAACTGAGGATGGGTCAAGGTGGAGAAAGGACAAAGGTTTTAAACCCTGGCCTATAAATGGGGGAGTAAGAATGTCTGCTCCTCAGCTCAGAATAGAGGTGTGTCTGCTTATAGCTCCCAGGAAAGATGTCCCACGGAGTTTATCAAGCACAACAAACTGTCTCTCCATGACCGGAGGGAAAACAGAAGTCAGGGTTCAGAAGATGTTTTGTTTGTTTGTTTGAAGGCAGCTAAAGGCTCCAACACTGCACCCGAGTTTACAAACTTGGGCCATGTTGCATTCTCAATCCTAAACAATTTTCCACATAACATGTACAGTAGCTTTGAAAATAAATAAATTGAGGCCGGCAGATGGCATAGTGGTTGAAATGCTGGACTCCCACATGGCCGACAGCAGTTCAAATCCCAGACCTGGCAGCTTGCTTTCTCATTTTCCCTTTCTCTCTTTCTCTCTCTGGTCACATTTTACAAATAATAATAACAAATAAAATTAAATAACTCTTGGGGCCGCAGGTGGCTTGGTGGTTAAGGGTGCTGGACTCCCACCTAGCCGACTGTGATTCGAGTCCCGGACCTGGCGGCTTTCTCTCTCTCTCACTCTATCCCTCTCTGGTCAAAATTGAAATAAATATATGAACAAATAAATAAAGTTAAATAAGATAATTTTTAAAAATTAAATAACTCTTAAAAATCAAAAATAGATAAATAAATCAGTGCCTTAAGGCTAAATGGGCTGCCACTCCCTTACGTTGTAATGTCAGATAACTATTTTCTTGCAAAACTCCAAGAAAACGAAACCTTACAGCAGGAGAATTTTTACAGATCTGAACCAAATCTCTCAGGCGACGAGAATTTTCGTTCTGCAGCTAAAGGGAAGACACAGAGTGGCGTAAAGGGCATGCATGACGACCCTGCCAGCCGGACAAGTCCCTCCCTCTGGGCTCTGAGTCCTGCTCGCCGAACCTGCGGACTTAATCCGTAACTGGCCGCTAGGTCCCTTCCAGCTCTGACCGCACCGCGCGGAAAAGATTTCCCCAAGGTTTCGCTTCGCGCTGCTCCTCCGGGAGGGAGAGGCAGGGGTCCTGAGCAGCAGCCGAGGCACCCCGGGGAGCCGGGAAGCGGGGATGCGGCGGCGGCGGCGAGCAGAGCAATGGGGTCCGAGGGCGGGCGCAGGACACCCGGGCTGGTCGGGGCGTGCGGGGCGCGTGCGGCCACTCACCTGGGTCTCCTCCTCGGAAAGGCCGGCCTCGGCGGCGATGAGGCACAGCGTGGCGGGGTCCGGGTGCCTGTTGACCTTGCAGAAGTTGTACTCCAGGATCTCCACCTGGTCCTCGGTGGGGCCGCTCGCCGTCTCCGCCGACATGGTCCCGGGGCTGCGGGGACAAGGGCGGCGGTGAGCGCGGCGGCGGGCGGAGGGACGCGGTCCCGGGTTCGCGCGGTCCCGCCTCTGCCGCGGCTTAGCGCTTCCTCCCGGGCACTGACCCGCAGCGCCCAGACGGGCCCTGGCAGTTGGGGGACGGGGCGGCGCTAGGTCTGCCCACTTCCCAGATGCAGAGAGGTCTGCGCCGGATCCAGGGTTTGAGGCGAGGACCGCGCTACCGGGACCGTCCTACCTGGAGAGCTCGCGGCGCCAGCGTGCACCCCGAAACCTCCAGCTACGGCCCCGCTTTTGCTCACGGAGTCCCCGCCTGCAGTCACAGGCCACTCTGCACAGCGTGTGACGGGAGCCCTCCTGCCTGAGCCCCGGAGGCGAGGCCTGGGAGCCTGAACCCCACCCGGGAGCGTCAGCGTCAGCCGTCTTTTACACCCACACTTCCCCCGTGGCGGGACCACAGTTCACTGCGGAGTCTCACAAGCTTCCAGGTGTCTTATCTCCCTACTGGGGGGCCAGACTTCACTCTAACAGAGCTGGGCGCCTGGCCTCCTGCACCCTCTCGGTCAGGGCAAAGAAGATTGGCAGCTGTGCGCCCCGCCCCAGTGTTGGATGCACTGGGGTCAGAAAGTGGGATGTGGGTTTGGCACAGACCCGTCAGGACCCCACTATTGCAAGCGTGGGGTCACAATGGTTTGTGGTTGTAACACACAGTTGCAAAATCCCGCGGCAACTCGGGCTGGGCTTGATGTGGTTTGTGCTGGAGCCGGGCCACCCTACATTGGCTGTGCAGGCACAGCGTCCCCATGCTCTGGCCACCTTTCCTCCTGTGACCCCAACCTTCTACTCCCTACTTACATCTACCTGCCCTCTAGGGCCCTCGAAGGGACGCCCGAGGAGGGTGAAAAGCTCTCCCGTGAGAGAATGGGGTGCACGTCTCTCACCATTTCACCATGAAATCCTGGGTTTTTAGGGAATTCCCAGCTCCTGGCTAAAACGTTTTAGCAGTGAATCCTGGCACAGGGCTGAGGGGTCAAGCCAGGGCAGAAGCACCTCCTCTCCTGTTGGCACCCACACCTCTCCTCTTTCTAGGTTTATTTATTTCCCCCGTTAGCAAGAGAGACAGAAACAGCACTCCCAGTGGGGTTTTGTTTGGTTTTTGCCATAGGGCACATTTGCTCCCCTGAGACAGACAGGGAGAGCAAGAAAGCACCCCAGGAAGGGACGGCCACGTGGTAATCCCTTCCCCTCCGGTTCTCTTCTCCAAACTGTAGGCATGTACACGCAAGTGACTGGCAGGCTTTTTGAGCCACTGGGTCTGGACTAGAACAGCTCAGTCAGCCATGCCGGATCTAGCCACCTTACCCACTTGCTACCTGGCTGTGCCACTCCTGAACAGGGTCTTAACGCCATGATCCACTCCCATTCTCAGTAAGCCCCGGATCAGGGCACCTGAGAGCTTGGTGCTCTTAGTGAGGTACCCAGACACGAATCTGTGACCTTCCCATGTGGGCCAACCTCAGAGGGCAATGAGTGTTACCACTGTCTGGCTCTCCCCCTCCCCTTTATGACACACAACTTTGGAGCTGGAAGACCCTCCACCAGTCTTCTCCTGGGACAGCCGGGGAAGATGAGGCCTTGGAAGACGGATGTCCTGAATTCCCCTGCAGTGACTTGCAGACCCCAGTGGAAGCCCTGGGCTCTGTCTTTTTCTTTTTCTTTTCTTTTCTTTTCTTTTCTTTTTTTCCCCTTTTTTAATTTAAGAGAGATTTTTGCTATAGGGCACATGCTCTTGCCAGAGAGACAGAAAACAAGAAATCATCCCCCCAGGGGGGATGGCCACACCGTGATCCTTTCTCCTCCACTTTCCTCTTGGAATCTTGGGCACGCATGCACACGCGCCTGGCATGAGTTTCAAGCCATTGGGCCTAGGATGCACCCGCGCTGGCATTGATTTCAAAGCCATTGGGCCTAGGACTCGAACCCCAGCCAGCCATGTGGGAGTCCAGCAACATAACTGCTACATCATCTGCTGGCCCCAGTCGGTGCTCTTTGGCTTCCTCAGCAGCCCAGCCTGTCTTTAGTTTGGCCAGAATAATCTGCTGAATTCGGGCAGGAGTTTGCTGCCGTTCTGACTGGGCACGGGCTGTTCTAGAGGGACACGGAGCTCAGACAGAGCTGCCCACTGAAACCACCCACCGCTGCTCCTTTTGCCTAAAAAAACGCTGGGAAGAACAAACTGCCGCCTCTGATTTTATTCCTCGCCCTCGGAAGGTTCCATCTATTTCAATTTCCTGGAGTCGTGCTGGCTCCTCCATGAAAAACTGTGTGTAGGTAGGATCCTCAGTCCTTCAGAAACAGAATTTCTAAACCGGACTTGGATGCGAGGACTGTAATGCACGTCATTGTCCCTCTTTTTTGTTTTTAATTGCTGGTTACCTAACTCACAGCTGCTAATGTTCTTCCATTTCATTGAATGCATTTTGTTTTATTAGATTTCTGTGGCTTCCTGTTACAGGACTTTGTCTGAGGTTTGGGGGAAGGTCTCACTTGACTTTAAAGTACTGCTTGGATTCTTTGGCCGAGAGCCAGTGGCCGTGCCTGGCTGCAGAGGGCCAGAGAAAGCACCCAGTTCTCTAAGCCAACCCGAACTACCTGCGTGTCTCTAAATGAGGGTGAAAGATCTCTGCAGTCAAACGCCTCTGTTATTTCTCGGCGTCTGTTGTTTCAAACCTCTTTGAAGAACAATTGTTCTTCTCTGTTTCTCTTAAAGGAAGCGTGTACATCAAATAAATCAAACTGCCCCGTAACTTTGGCCTTAGGAAGTTCCTCAGCACTTTCTAGCTAAGAAGTTTCTCTGAAGGTAGTCAAAACAATTTCAAGTTATTTCAAAAATAACTCCAAGTATGATAAAGCTACTTTAATCTTAGCACACGTTTTACTGCTGTGGTTATTCATGTCTTATGAAACACTCAGAGAGTAATCTGTCTTGTGGTTTTGTGTGTGTGTGTGTGTGTGACTGGGGAAAGACATTGCATAAACTTTTCAAGAGATTAAATTAAAACTACTGGCTCTATTTTTAAATTAATGCCAATGTCTGGAGACACAGTTATCAATCTGGCAGCGTTACTTCTGTCCCCTAATCCTACTGTCACTTACATAAACATCTCCCTCTATGAACTAGCTTATAGACAGTGCTGTCAACTGGTAACTTTGGATTGCCTTTATGGTAACAAAACTCCCTCCTCCAGCCTGACCTCTTCATAATGCCGTTAATATCAAACCAAGAGAAAATGCTTATTGATGGCAGGTGTTTGCATAAGCCCCAGGTCCCACGGAGAGATGGCCAAAAGGAAAAATAGCAGGTAGATCATTCCTTTGGGCTGTCTCCCAATTTTATTTAGCCTGTATTTTTTTTTAAGAGGTTTTTGCCATAGGGCACATGCACTCGCCAGAGAGAGAGAGACAGAGATAGTGAGAAGAAAAATGAGAAGTCACCCCATCACCCCCCTGCAGGCAGGATGGTCATGCTGCAATCCTTTCTTTTCTATTCTTTTTCTGAGATCTTGGGCACATATGCCCATCATGACTTTCAAGCAACTGGACGGGGGACTCAACTGTGGGAGTCCAGTGGCCATGTGGGAGTCCAGTGGCCATGTGGGAGTCCAGCAACGTAAGCACGCTGTGCCACCTGCTGTATTTTTCTTTTTCTTGCTTTCTTTCTTTCTTTCTTTCTTTCTTTCTTTCTTTCTTTCTTTCTTTCTTTCTTTCTTTCTTTC